ATTGAACCTGTGTTGATTCCTGATTCCCTTTGTCTCCTAGCCCCAGAAGACAAAGGACATTGAGAATCAACCTGGGTTAAAAACGATTAACTTAAAATCAAAGTCAACCTGTGACAGGCCGACAGAGCGGGTCAGGGGACCGCCTTTATTGCACCCATCTGCACAATGCAGGTACTAGTACTTACTATTGTATCTCCAAGTATTACAGCTGCATCCTTTACAAGTAGAATGCATGCACCATGACTCTGAGGGACAACATTCATGTATAATATATGTAGTAGCTGATTCAATAATTAAGGTTGCTTTATTGGGCACTGGGCATTTAGGTATACGGAACTCACTGCAATAATTTTGTTCAGTGACAACCAAACAATAGCTGCCCTGTGCAATTCCCAAAATGTAAAACATTTTATATTGAATCAGCTATATACACCTGGCCCAAGTTGTTCAAAAGGTGTATAACGCTATCCATTGGATAAATCACTGTCCCCTGGATAGTGCAATTGGTTTCCCTAATACTCTTTTAATTCATAACGGGTAATTTGAGCTCTTAAATGCGTAAGGGAAAGATTAAACGACAGTTTTAAAATTTTAGAATTTACAAGGATTTGTATGGAAAACCATGCAAGCGTGACTGGATGGCAAAAGTTGTTTTTCTCACACAAATGCTTCTAACTTTTGGCGGCCGTTGCAATCGCTACTTTTGAGACATACAGCTGAAAATTCTCAGGTTACCTAATTTTAATATGGGCTTTCAACTTGTGCTAACAAAATTTTTCAAAAGTGAACTGTTTTTGTGTTTACTGAAAGTTGATCACATGATCAAGTCATGCAAAGAACCTATTTTCCCTGTTTCTCCCACTTCTGACCTTTTTAGAACTCTCACCTTTTGCCCTTTCCTCTAGTGCTTCCCATTCCTCTCCTAGGCTCCCACCCCCGTCATACCCCACCATGAAGCTTGATTGGAATTTTGGGAGGGGTTGGATGAGGGGTCTTAAGGTCTAATTCCATAGAGGGGATATACACGTATCCATGAACAGAAATTTTCCAAAATAATTATTACAAATTAAAGGTCTGAAATCTTTACAATACTTTACAAGCAGCGTTAAGAACAGATTAACAAAAAACTAAAAAATCAGTATTACACTTCATGCAGTACCTTACTCCGCCTTGTAAAAAGGAACAAAATATGTAAGAGTATTAGAAAGAACCACAAAAACAACTTACAGTAGAAAATGAGCCTTCTCCTAGAATTTTTCCAAACTTGAAATCTTCTGGTTTTTTCTTTTTAATAGGTTGAGATGATGATGGTGATGTAGGGAGAGAGGAAGAGCTTGAACTGGCCTATTAAAAAATACGTAATGAATCAGTCAGGTTAAAATGGTTTCAACTCAATTTTTTTAAAAATTTCCTTTGTCTCTTAGCCTTAATTACTCATGATCCTGAATAATTAGGGTAAAAGAACATTAATAAGACAAAGATTAAATGAAAAATAATAATTCCGATAACACTCCCCAAGAGAGCTTTTAAGTAATGATCCGGGTAAGGTGGATAGCAATTTCTTTTGTTATGCGGCAATACAACCTCGTTCCCAGGGTTCTCTCCTACCCGCCCTACGGAGCGAGAGACAGAGAGAGACCCTGGAAAACGCTGGTCACAGAACAAAATTAATTCTGAGGGAGGAGTCCTTTGTCTCACATTTTTTTGTCTGGTTTATTCGCAACGATCACGCAGTGATCGCGACATCAGGATAGATTTGCTAACCCTACTACAACTATAACTGAAACTAATTAAGGGAAATTTCTGCCTAAACAGAACTATCAGATGAACATGTGAATTACCAGAGCAGGAATCAAAAACTAGCGTTGTCGCCGGTTTAACGGATGACACCAATCGCTAAAAATCTACCATCTTGAGTTATACACAAGCGAGTTAATTTTTTGAAAGTAAAATCCCTTTATGTTGAACTTCTATATTAAAAGTTTCAATGTTTGTCTGACAGCGGCTGGTAATCGGTGAAATAAACCTACACCATTTGCAGTCTTAGCAGCTTGGCGTGACAAAGCCCCGGGACAAAACATGGCAGTTACATTGAGAGCAAGGAATTCAGTTAATACATTTACAATTAAAGTAATATTTTAGATCTAGTGACTTCTCGGAAAGCTAAAGCCTAAAATGTCAGCATTTTCCACCCACTAATCATTGTTGTGATGCGGCAATAGAAAAGTGGTAAATAGATCAAAGATAAAAATAATTATATACCAACACGACGTGGAAGACAACAGGAAATAGTACAAACAGAGACAAAACAGACAACATAATCTGCGTAATAGTAGTCTTGAAAACACATACAGATGCTGTAAATTTGTTTTCTAAAGTGGCCTCCGACAACATAGATACGGCAATTCAAATCTAGTGCGTTTCGGTATGAATACTACTACCAGGCAGACCAGGAAACCAAAATTATTTTTGACTGTCTCCGCGATTTCCGTTGCATTTGCCAAATGAAAGCAAGGCTGATAAACATCCGACTAACATCCAGATATTCTGCAGAAAGTTACGCTTTCGCTGTCAAAGGATTTTGTGCATTATTTTCGGCGTTCAAGATCAGGTAAGATACACAGTTTCATGGCTGCACTGACCTGTCTACGCTCTGTAGAGACAAATCTCACACTTACCTGCCCCTCCCCCAAATTGTTTGTTTGTAATCTCCCAGATTCTGGGAGACACGTGACTAGCGTTTTCCAGGGTCTCTCTCTCTCTCTCGCTCCGTAGGGCAGGTAGGAGAGAACCCTGGGAACGAGGTTGGCGGCAATGGTGCTTTCCCCACATAGGAATGTTCTCATTTTTACACAGAGAATGCATAAACCTACATGAAGGCCGTTTACGCAATAAAATGCAGTTAAACTCCACTTTGAAAGGATGATTTTGAAAACAGAGTTGAAAACAATAGCCAAGAAAAGTTTACAATTTTAAACGTTCCCCACATAGGATTTCTTTGTTATTCAAACTGAGACCAGATTTTGTTATATGGAAGATGGTTGGAAAGTAAGGATGAATATGTGTACTGCTTTATGAAGTTTTGTTAACTTTTGCTGTTTAAGCCAATCAGAAGTAAGTACAGACAATAGAAAAGTTAGCACCTTTTTGCATTCCAACATGTTCGTTGCCGTTGTTGCTATCATCCTTATCTGGACCGTTTCTTAAAAAACATATCAATAACATGTTGCTTTCAATGTAAGAGGCTAAGGACAATTACGTCGAAGTGCCCATTCTCTGGGTAGTGCTTCTGATTGGCTAAAATTTGCTTTGAACAATCAGATGCACTACCCAGATCAGGGTAGTGACAGCACAGTTAAACCTCATTTGGGAGTTGAGTAAATAGTTCAGATAATTGAGAGTCCGGATACCTGAAAATATGAATTCATATAATGAGACAATGTCAACATAGGGAATAAAGAAAACAAACTTTTATTGTGAATTAGCTCCTACTTGAATTTTTGCATGGACTGTAAGTATTTATGTATTTTAAGTCCTTCGCTCATCTTGAGGCTGTTGATGAATTTCAGGATCTCCTCTTTGCTTTTGCTTATATCTGAGATCTGCTGCTTGCTGATTTCAAACTTGAGTGCTAAATTTGTTCCTTTTCTCGCCTTTCTCCAAACGTGACTTAATCGTTTGCTTATCCTTTAACAAGAGAATGGACTGCTTTCATTGCGTAGACATGGCTGAGATTGGAGTTTACGATAGATTGATTAGGTCTTGTGTTTACATAACTAACGTGGAAGGATTATTGAACTTTTAATCGTTTCAATTTTTCAAGATCATATCTTACTAATAGAGAGATCAAGACTCATGTTAACACCAAACGGCAAACCTGAACTTGCACCACATGACCAAGTTTTTCCCTTATTTGCCATTAACTGTTTATCACTTCAACTGAAAAATAAGTAGTTTCACGCCAGTTTTATACATAAGAATAGTTCTGGACAGTTTTTATCTGCTTATTTTCTATTCTGAGAAAGTCTCAACTTGAATCTGACGTTTGCCGTTAGGCGTAAACATGAATCTTAATCAAGGTCCAGATAATCAAGGTCCGACTGTATGGAATTTCTGTACTCATTCGCCAGACGTCATGTAGCGGGGAAACCATTAGTGGGTTTATGAAGTGTCAGCTGTTTTCTCTGGCTATTTGCAAGGAGGCCATGTTTAATAGAAGTTAGGAAAAATAAAAATCAAATTTAAATCAACGCAGGCAGTGTGTATGCTTAATGTATTTCTTTGCTTTTTAATAAAACTGTTGTTGTTGTTGTAGAAAAAAGATTTTATTTGAAAAAGTGAAAACCTCTCTCTTAAGCAAAACAATACTCTCTTGCAAACAACCAAAATGTGTCAATCATGTTTTGTTTATTTAACGCTTCAGGTTTTCGCACAATATTGAACAAGAAAGTACCTTACTATGTTTAATACAACTTGCATTGTCATTCGTTTTGGTTTATTTACCAACAAAACCAAGCATTCAACGAAATATATTGAATCCGGCACCAATTAATTCACATTGAGGATATTCCTAAATTATTACAAGCATAATGGGGATGCGAGATGAACGGGAAAGAAAATGCACGTTAGTGCAGCTCTTTACTGAATTCGTTGACAAAACTGAGTAGTTGAACTTTTAGAAGCTTTTATAGATCGTAGGATGCATAATATCGAACAACCGGCGAACAAAGAAAAACAATCTTCGACGATCACACGAAAAAGACTTTGCAGGACTTTTGGTTTTTGTTTTAATAATAAACTTACCTCTCTTTTCACCCCGTTTTCCGCCATCGCAGTGTTTTCTTTATCGTTGAAAGTTGAAGGCAAACATCTTCAAAACAGAAACTTTCTTACGGGAGGTTTTCCAAGACGGAAATCCGCTGCCTGCAATGCATCGCAGGAAGGAAGAGGAAGCCTGGGTCCCAAAGTTTACTGCGCGTGCACTCGCTTTCGCGGGATAAGTCACGTGATGTACACTCAAAAGCGAAAAAGTCCAATTGACAGGGATTGCATGACTTTTTATGAAAGCTTTCAATTTTAAGATTATCTCCTTTTCTTCTGAAAATTTTGTTATAAAGAGTTGAATTCGATTTGTTATGTCTGGTATTGCGATCGGCCGATTAACAGAGGAGAGAAAAGCTTGGCGAAAAGATCATCCTTTCGTAAGTGCTTACATAGTTGCCCTACTTCATGTGAAAAGCTTAATGTTCGTCGTTTCATTGATTTTCCTAAGACGATTTCGACAACTTTATCTTTAAATTGAATGCTGTTGTTCTTATAAGGGATTTGTTGCCAAACCTGCAAAAAACCCCGATGGTACGTTAAATCTGATGAACTGGGAGTGTGGTAAGTCTTACTGGAATATGATCACTGCATGCATGATCACTGTTTTCAAAAAATCAAGGTTACTCTACAAAACTGCCATCCTTGTAAATACTTGCTTTTTGTTTCGATAACGACACAAAAAGGATATTTGTTTGTTTCGTGATAAATCAATATTTTCTTTTTATCTTTCCCACAGCGATTCCTGGAAAGAAATCGGTATGTACGATAATGTTTTTGAAGTGGAGTTAAATGAGAAATAATTGTTAATCTTCCTGAATCTCCTTCATATTAAACATTAGCGAGAAATTTTTTTTCCAGTCCTAAAATATCAGGTGGATTCAAAATAATAAAAATAGTAATAATAACTTTACCGGTCTCAGACACAATCATTCTTCAATTTGTAATTGTACGTACTTACATTTATGCCTGTTCTTTGTAATTATACCTATGTTACATAAGGAAATTCTAGAAGAAAGATTGCGGAAAGTTGACAATTTTTTTTCCTGTTGCTAAATGATTTGAAAATATATATTTTTTGCCTTATGACTTCTCACATGTCGTTTATTATTTGTTAGACTCCTTGGGAAGGTGGATGTTACACTCTGAGGATGGTTTTCAAGGATGATTACCCTTCAACACCTCCTAAATGTAGGAATTTTTTATCTTTTGTTTTTATTCAAGGCGTGCTGGGGATATCTACCAATTAATTTAATTTTCAGACATTTCTTATTGCTTCACAGAAAAGCCTTAGGGAGAGGTACCTATGTTATTTACAAGCTCAAATTTTTTTCCAGCCCACTTTCCAGTGTCCTAGCTCCATTCTCATGCTATTTCCCATCATGTCTTCATTCCTCCTTCAGAAAACAGTGACCCATATACTCAAGAAGATTGGCAAAGTTGGTGTAACAGACTGTTTTTACCTTTCCCTGTTTTCTTGTAAGATCATTGGAATCTTTCATCTTGACTGCTGGGGTGAATAGCTTTGGAAAGGGAGGCAAAAAAAATTAGGGAGGGTGTGTTAACTTCACCACAGCTCATTTTCGAGGAGCAATTGCCAGCCTCTGATTCATCATTTTATTGGCATTGACAGTGCATCTGGCTAGAGTGACAAGTTGGCAATTCCAAAACTAGCTTTTGCGCATAATGAGAAAACATCTTTTTTAGACAGTGTCTTAAGGTTGATTTGCACTGACATGTTTTTGGCTACGCGCGTTAACGCACATAAATTTTAATCATGTAAATAAAATAGAGGGAAGATAAAAAGTGCTGAGCTAAAACGAGAAGTTGAGCGAGGTTCAACTTTTACGCTTACGAGCAACCTTTCATGCATTGCCTCTATTTTATTTACAAACGTAAATTTTACGCACATACACACGTAAAAAATTATGTGACACTGGAAATCAACACTGAGTGAAGAATTAGTGTTGTAAATGAACTGAACATGGCTTATATGGCTATGTTGATATCCTGTACTTTGCAAGTTTATTTTTATACATTGTTGTGACTATTTTTATTTTGGCCTGCTTCTGATCGTACGTTTCTATTTGGTTTTGTAAGTCCTTTATACAGTAACAACATTGTTTTCAGGGCTCCAAAAAAGTCTTGCCTGGTAGTGCAGGACAAGTAGATTTTCTTACTGAGCAAGTAACTTTAAAATCTCACTTGCCCAATGGACAAGAGTCCAGGCAATTCATCCTCTAACCAGGCCTTCTCGTAGGGTGCGACAAAAAATCAGAAATTATGTGGCATTTTCAGGGCAGATTGTGCGATAAGATAGGACTGTTATGCAATAAATTATGCAATTTTTTCAGGGCTAATTAACATTGTTTTACCAAGTTTTGAATTAGGAAAATCACATTAATGTTGTTTAACAGGCAATTTGAATGTAAAAGAATAAGAAAACATCTATTTTAAAACAAAATAGTTAAGTTTGTCTAATTATCTTGACCCGGAAGAGAAAACAAATTGTAAGAAAGAAAAAGGACACTTGTTTAATATTACATGATGCCGTTACACCACTGACCACACTGCTTGTCTCTGAATGAAAATGGCTGCCCAGATACCGCTATCAAAGGTTTGAGATGTCTTGCAAGGCTTTCTTTTGTGGTAAATCATTAGAATTTATTGTTTACTTTACTTGAATTTAGCATTTCTTTTACGAATTTATCATGTGATTTTCCTCAAATTGTGCAATCTGATGCGATTTTGAGGCCAAAAAATGTGCAAAATCGCACCATCGCATAATATCAGAAGCCCTGTCTGACCAATGCTTCCTTTAAACAATGAGTTGGAATCTTGCTGATGCCAAAATTTGACAAAGCACACCAAAATTATTGTACACCCGAAATTTGAGAGGAAATGCATTTAAGGGAGACATTTTATTGGCTACCATGTTGAAGGGCACACTGTTGCCCTCCAACATGATAGTTATGCTCAGATGTGCTGTAAATGTTACCACATCATCTTTTCAACATTGATATTCCAGGTTATAATAGATCTAATACAGGGATAATGATAGCCTGCGAGCAAGCTCTCCTATTTGGGCGAGTTAAACGTGTCTCGCGAGAACGCCCGAGCGAGCTGCTCGCTTCGCTTGCCCAAATAGGAGAGCTTGCTTGCAGGCTAGGATAATGAGGTCGTTGAAAACAATTAATAACAAATAGCAGTTGGACTGCGAGCAGTCTCCTATTTTTCTTTGCAAATTTACTGCACGAGAAACCCAAGCACGCGAGCCTCGATAAACGTCACTCTGGTCCTAATCCAGTATTGTAACATAACGTCGGGTTTGCAATCGTGCTGGCTGAGATAAGAACTAGACGGATTTTAAGAGAAAAGGCGGACTGCAAGCAGTCTAGATAGCAGTAAACTCAGGTCGACTCACCTGACTGTTTCGTTTAAGACCTTCAAGGTCTTCACTTGCCTTGAAACAGGAGCTCTAAAATTATTCTTCCCGAAGAAATGCATTCCCACTGGCGCCTCAGTTTTTCGTAATACAGAGCCACACAATTTATGATGTCTACCACATTGTCGTCATTGTGCACTTCCATCAGTTCTGGTGGCCATACCTTGGTCAGACTTACTCTGAGACTTACTTAACAAATGCGCTGTCCAAAGGATCGTCCAAGTCCGACCAGGCCCGTCCAGGAAAAAGCAGAAAAGGTCAAATCCGTCAACAAAACAGGAATCAGTGCAGATCAATGCACGTGACTTGTAACCTCAGTGATTTGATTCCTCTTTCCGAGTGACAAAAACGACGAAAATAGTAAATCGGAAAAGACGAACAATATACAAAAGTGATAATGGGCAAAATTTGACAGGCTTCACTTCCTTTGACACTCATAACTTGACTACAAAGGCGGTATACACACTAAAGAACCATTTTTCAGTCAACGCTAATAAATTTTTAGTCAAGACAAAACTAAATTCCCGCATCCCGCTATTTTTCCCTTACGATTCCCGCATCCCATCCCCATAAAAATAGGAAATTCCGTTCCCGCTGGTTATTAAAATTCCCGCATCCCGCTCCTGTTTTTAGCTCGCATCCCGCGTATCACCACGAAAAATAGCCAAATCCCGCATCCTGCCAAACCTATTGTGGACCCTCTGTTTAGGTATGTAGGAATACACGAAAACCAAGGGCCTTGATTCGAGGGAAGTTACATCATTGCCAAAATGCCAACATGTGATCAACCGTGACTCCAATTTTGCTAATAACCTAATGCTGTTCGGTTTAGTTTGTTACTTTGAATGATTGATGTTGTCATATAACGTTGGTCAGAAGTAGCAATGGCTGTAGCAATGCTTAATTATTATCTCAACCTCTGATTTCTCGTTTTCTGTACATCATTCTTATTTAAATTTTTGTTGAAAATTTTATCCTGCCTGCTTCTTATTTTAATTTGGTTTTCAATTTCCGTTCAGGTGGTCCCGCTCAAGTTTTAACTCTCTTGCTCTGCTTACAAAAACATTAAAACCTGCACAACTGATTACACTGAAAGATACAGAATATGCACGAAAACATAGATCACAAGCAAATTCTTGCCTTGGTACGTCATAGACTTTGTGAGCAAGATGCTGTTGACACTTTCAAAACTTTTTAAAGCCTTAATTAATCACGAGCTGGATGGCAGGAGCTTTTGATAACTTTCTGTATTTGGTGAGCATACATGTACTCGCTACTGGTTTGCTCACTGTATTTTCTATGAAACGTGAAATCCCCAGTTTATTTTTAATGAAGCTACTAAACTATAATCAGTCTTAACCAGCTTTCATAAATGTTGTTGGTAGGAGACTACTTACAAAAAATCCTTTTTTAATGCATATGCGTGGCGTATGATATGTGCTTCGTCGTTCACATGGCTGCAGAATCAGAGGTGCGACCACTCTTTGGCTCTCTTTGGTTATTTTATGTAAAAATGGCTGGAACAGCTAACTCTTATGACCTAGAGATACCAGGTGGAAATAAAAGATTAAGCTTCGTGTAGCAAAGTTGATTTTGGTGATGTATCAGTGTAAGAGGGAAGCTCCACAGCTGCCAAACAGCTCAAACCAAAAGAGAAACAAATAGAAGATGCCACTGGAAAATTCAGATATGATCATTTTGGATATCTTTCCGTGGTCTATTTATATGTTACTGTTTTTAAATTATTTGTCATTTTCAAATGCGTACTTTAGTTTGAAAAGGTTTTTCTGGACTAACAGGTTTTAATAATTGTAGTGACATGCACATGGCTGAGCATGTAATGTGGCAAAACCAAAACGTGACCAAAATGGTGCTCCATCGATATCACCGCTCGAAATAAACCACCTCCTCATCATGAAGCTCATTTGCATACAATGAAAGTTTACACCACTCGACCAACCAACCAACCAACCGACCGACCAACCAACCTTGAGTGCTCCCTATAACCTAAGTTAACCAGTGGACCTCTATGAAAACACATCATAAAATTACATTCAGATTTTATGTTATATTTTTGCTTATGTCATTATTTAAAGCTGTTGCTTGTTCTTTCTAGAAGAAAGTAGCCGTCTTTTATGAGCAAAGTAGCTGACACATTATGTCGGCCATAGGTGCTTATTGAAACCCCTGCTTACTTGATGCCTAAGCCCCAGGTACAACTAAACCAAGAGGGTTGCTCATTAATATGGTAACTGTAAATCATGTAATTGACACTCCCTGTGAAATAAATGCTTATTGTCTACTAAACAGCCTCTCTACAATCTTTAGCTTGTATTATAGGCCCCTTTCCAATACATATTAATTACAGGTCAAATTCGTCTTCAGGCTAATTTTGATTTAACGTAGGTTGATTCTCAATTTTCTTTGTCTCCTAACCCTAAGAGACAAAGGAAATAAGGAATCAACCTAGGTTATAAAAATTTAATGAAATCAAATTTGACCCGTAACATATACAACCCCTGTCTAATAGATGCCCCCTCTCCCACCCCCACGCCATGACAATAGCTCCTAAATACTAGGAATTGGCAAAAAGAGTAAAATCATTCAATTTATTCAGTTTCTTGCTTGATTAATAAAAGTTTCGGCATTGCATCTTACTCAATTTTGAGTTTAAAGTAAGTATAAGCCATCAATGACCCTGAACAAGGATTTTGACATCCAAGATGACACCTGAAAGAGGGAGATGGATCTTTGCAAATGTAGATGGCCTAGACATACAGTATTAGTTGATGGACTAGATGTTTCGCGTTTATAAAATGTCTTGACATTTTTGTGGAGAGCATATTACTGTGGTTTTGTAGAGATTGTTAAATGGCTCTCTTTTTCAAACGCCTCCTGTTTATTAAATTCCTTCTCTTGGAGCCCTTTAATTAAATGTAAAAGCTACAGACATCTATTAGATCATATATGGTTTATGAACAATCTTATTACAAATAATTCAGGGGGTTTGCAAAGAATTTCTGAAAATACAGTGATGTACATGTATTTCCTTCCTGCTTGCTTCTTTGTTGTTATACCCCTTCATTCAGTCGATAGTAGGATTTGAGTCAGCTCAAACAGTGAAAATTAGGGGACAAAGAGTGTTTTTATCATTAGATTTTTCCTGTTGAAGACACGAGTCAGCAGGGTCATATTTCAGTACATAACTAGTCAAGCATGAAGTGTGCAAAAATTATGTAGATGCTTATCATATTTCTAACTGTGGTCATGTTTACTGGTGTTAATGTTTTCATTTGGTGGTAGTGGAATTATCTTTAGCAGAGCATTCACATGGTGTGAAGAATAACTTTATTTGATCATTCACATTCATTTTACAAAGATGAAGACTACAAATGAATTTTACACACCATACAGTAGGAACAGGCTGTGATACAGACCATCCACAATTTTGGAGTGTGTATTTTGACACCTCAATTTTCCTCAGTAAAAAACATTTGTTGATCTTAAAGCGTTACAAAGTAAATGTATTTCAAAGCTCTTTTTTTTTTTAAAAAAAAAAAAAAGAAGACAACTGGATCCTACTTGCACAGCCAAATTGTACATGTACAGAAAAAAAAATTGTTATGGAAGTGTGAGAATGGTGCCCTGGCTCAAACTCTGCAAAAGTGAAGGCTTCTTATAAGAAATTAAATTTAATGTATTTTAAATACTGGTTATGATATATACACGTAGTAAGACAATATTTATTGTTATATCATATAACAAACTGTTTCAGTGTGAAATGATTAGGAAATGAAGGCTTAATAAACAGGGTATCTTTTACTTTTTCAGGTAAATTTGAACCTCCAATCTTTCACCCTAATGTATATCCATCAGGAACAGTATGTTTGTCTCTTCTGGATGAAGAAAAGGATTGGAGGCCAGCCGTCACTATTAAACAAGTAAGAAATCTGAACAAGCATGACCAACCAAAGACAATGCCAGCATAATGGCCTGGCGACAGCGAAAATGCTGTAGAAACCCAAAAGCCCTTGTGAAGTCATAAGTGCATCTCCAAAAATCACATACAAGAGACTGCTGACTAGCATTGTCTGGAGTTTAACTTAGTCTTAATTTCATTTATCCCAAGGCTGTGGCTCTAAGGAAAATTGGAGGGAGCCCAGTGCTCTGAAACTGTGAAATGCATGGCACCTAGTATATTTGTATGAAAAAAACTAAGATTTTCTAGTCACCGGAGAGTGAAAGTTGGGCACCAGGGGCCACTGGGCTCCACTAGAGCACAGGCTTGTAGCCACATTCCAGATTAAGATTTTGTGTGCAGAAGTTTATCAGTAATTTTGTGATTCATTTTCTAGGTTTTATTGGGAATTCAAGACCTACTTAATGATCCTAACATAAAAGACCCTGCACAGGCAGAAGCTTATACTATATATTGGTAAGTAACACATGGTCAGAAAATATATATCATCTGGGCTGAGTTGTTCAAAGCTGGGTTAAGATAACCCAGGGTTAGTGCGAGATTTGAATTCAGATTTGAAAGCTTAGAAAGCATTTCAGTTTTAATTCTTTTTGACTTCAAGTTGATGATTGGAAGCTCTAAAAATAGCACAGAAAATTATCCAAGAAAATGCTTTTGAACACAAGAAAAAGAAATGCAGGTTAAATTTAACCCCAGTTTAAGCGCTAATTGGCCTTCGAACAACTCTGGACTTTACAACTGGTTTTGCCTGGTTCATTAGGTAAATTAAACTAAGAAATTCATGTGATTTTTCTGTCTGTATTCCTGACAAAATTTTGAAAATGGGAACTAGAGCTTTGAAATGAGCTGCCACTTTGAGTAAGGGGAAATTTTCTTATCCACCAGCTACTTTGTTTCTTTGCCTCACAAGAGAATTTGTTCTTAAAAAGGAACATTTAAATACTAGAACTACCTTTTTATGTCATAAAAATAATCCAAAGGTACATTTAGTTTGAGTATTTAAATTTTCCTGTTTTAAGGACAATTTATTTCTCTGGTGAAGTGAAGAAACAAGGTAGCTGGTGGGTCATAAAATTTCCTATTAAATCAACACAGCACCCATACATGTACCTTTTAACTCATTTTTTAACAGAAAAAAACATACTTTGTTGTTAGGAAATATGACCCAGATGCCTTGTGTAGATGTTTGAATGTTGGTAACACAATATAAAGTAATCTAATTTTACTGATTGTTTTTTTGTTACGTCTTTTTGCTTGTTTTGCTTCGCAAAATTACTATTTTCATTTATTATGCTTTTTCTGCAGCCAAAATAGAGCAGAGTATGACAAAAGAGTCAAGTCCCAAGCACAAAAAATGGCTCCCAAATGAAAAAGGATTAGCTATGGTAAACCTTTGCTATGAACAAAGAACTTTACTAAAAACAAGCAGAAGGACTAAATGCCTTATTCATCTTCTCCATGGGACATTCTACATGAAAAGGGGAAAAGGGAGATGTTACAAGATTATTTGTCTTTACTGGTTGTCAGTTTTGTTCATAAATCAAGAGAACGTCATGTTGCATATAATCCTCTTCTGAGGGTGTTGGTCCATTTTCGTGCTGTACTGTGAGGTTACCTTATATTTTACAAGCTTCTTGTCTTTCTTTGCGTCACTTTGTACTCAAGAGACATGGATTTTTAGTGATTTCTCAGTGGTCAAAACTGCTCAAGTGCACAGGTTTTGTTAAAGAAAGATGATAATAATAATTATTATTATTGACTGTCTTACAGCTCTTTGCATTTATAAGGCTGATTGAAGCATCTTAATGGATATGTAGTTCTTTCTTATTAACTCTTTACAGTGGAACCTTGATTTAAAAAATCTCTACACAATGGAAGTCTTCAGTATAAGGAATGCTATTCCTAGCCCCAGTAGTAGTAAAGTATAAAAAAAAAGAACCTCGACATAACGAAACCTCATTATAGCAAACATATTTTGTCAGTCCCTTGGCCATTTGTTATATCGAAGTTCCACTGTATCTTGAAATCTGGTTTGGATTGTTTCATTCCTGGCATGGTAGGGCATAAAATAATGTACTTGATGTTTCACAGAAATCATGATTATTTTAATGTGTTGCTGTAAGTATTAGACAGCAAAGCTGTTCATAAAATAGTTTAGTTGAACCTCAATTATCTGGCCCCTGATTATAGGAACCAGACTTCTTGTTACCTTGATTTTTTTCATGAATAATGATGCATTCCCACTTGCCAGATGAGAGGTAACAATTTTGTTTTGTTTGATAAATTGCCTTTGAAACGGACTTCTGTACTAAACAAGTGCTTTAACCTGAAATGCTGAAACTGAGCTATTTGCTATTCCACAGATGACAGTGCATTTTTGCTATTGTTGTGGGTAATCGTCCTTTGAAATGATAGAAGTAGCAATGAGGAAGACCACATCAATGTTCATGTAATTTTCGATGATCAGAAATCTTGATTGTTTGGATGATTGAGGTTCTACTGTAATATATTCTACTGTAATATACCTGGCAGATATGATCTGGGGGCGGGGGGGGGGGGGGGGGGGAGGGAGATATGTGTCTAGAAGGGGAGAAGCCCTTTTTCTTTCTCATATCCCTATATAAAAATCCCGCACAAAGATCCCCCCGCTATGGGGGGTTAAAAAAAAAAACAGAGAAGGAGGCGGG